ATGCACATGTAGTTATTATACTTTCACACTCTTCTCTCTGTGGATTGTATGCTTTACACAATGCTCATACCTTGCCTGCTGTCTCCTGTAGGTTCTTGTGCCCACGGAGGCCTCCAGAAAGTCAGCAGACCCTTTGTGGTGAAGCTTAACTGGAGAGGCTACTCATACAAGGCATGCACCTGGGGCCGAGACTCGGCACCCAATCTAACCTCTTCCCTTTACTGGGTGGCTCCTCTGCGTACAGATAGCAGGTGAGTCTTGGATAATGTCTCTTCTCCAACCAGGTTAATTCCAAATGTCTTCTGCCCTTACCCTAACAGATTTCTTTTTACCCCAGCCCAGCTTCCTCTCCATGTTTTAGGTGTGTCCCTGAGCAAACCTAATTTCAGCCCAACTGGTCACCTTTCAGCACTCCTCTCATGAAATAAGTATGACCCAGATTGGTCTGAGCTTCCTTCACAAGCCCATTGTCTGGAATTTTTAATCCCATAGTAACCCAAAGATAGTTCTTTCTGTAGTCTGATCCTATGTCAAGAACAAACTCTTCTACACCTGGGCCTCAATTGGAGGCAGCTAAACTGGAGAGGCTTTTCATACAAGGCAGGGACATAGGACTGAGAGCCAGTGACCAACACAACTTTTCTTTATTGAGTGGCTGCTCAATTGCCTCTCCAAATCCTAAATTGCCTCAAAATCCTAAATTCTTGCTTAGAAGTTTAGAGCATGACCCTGGCCAAGCTTGAGACTTGCAGCCAAGCCAATCTGAGTTTAAATCTCAGTATTTCCACTTAAGCTAAGTGATCTCAGAGAAATGGATTAACATCTCAGACCCATTCTTAGTCATATGTAAAATGACAATTATTAAGTTTATGAGAAAAATAACATGATTACATAGGAAATTAGAAGCATAGTTGGCGCTGATAAATATTTATTAGATGAAAGAATGGCTACATGGATAAATAAATAAATAAATTGTCAGCCTTGCTAGGAAGGTAGGCACAACTCCTAGAGTGTTTAAAATCAGTTCATGTGGTATAGACCTGATTGAATAGGAGGTCCTGGGAGGGAGAGATGAGTGTAAGTTTAGTCAGTCATTGAAGAGCTATGGTTGCAGTTAAACTCAGAAATATTAGTATTACTGATAATAATGTTCCCCAATTTCTATAAATACTTTGTAACATATAGAATAGATTTACATGCTTCTGAATAACCTCTACATTTTTGTGGGTAAGTCATGACTCACAGATGAGGGTGTTCATAACTCACAGATAAGAGTCCCTCACAGGTACTTCCTGAAGTGACCTCATGACCATAAATCTCCCTGAATCCAGCTCCGGAACTCTGTCCTGATACGGGACCCCTGCATTTCAAAGGTAGTTGGAGTCTAGGTACAGAACAGTGTTCATGAAGAATAAAAATAATAGCTACTATTTGTTGATTGCTTACTTTGAGACAAACACTCTAATTTTTTTCTTTACATTATCTTTATTTATTTATTTATTTTTGAGTTAGAGTCTCACAGGTTGGAGTATAGTGGCATGCTTGTGGCCACCCTAGCATCGAATGCTGGGCTCTGGTGATTTTTTCTGCCTCAGTCTTCCAAATTGCTGGAACTACAGGCGTGTGCTACCACACTGGGCTAATTTTTTGATTTATTGTAGAGATGAGGTCTCACCATGTTGCCCAGGCTGGTCTAGAACCTGCAGACTCAGGCAGTCCTCTTGCCTCGGACTCCCAAAGTGCTGGGATTACAGGCTTGAGCCACTGCACCTGACCTGCATTATCTTAATTAGTCCTGGCAATCAATAAAGTAGATTCTTTTGTTATTTCTTTACAGATTTTACTTATAAGCTGTGTGACTGAGCAAATTACATAACTTTCTAAAGCCTAGCCTCTTAATCTATGAGAGTAAAACCTAACTTATGGTGTTGTTATTATAGATAATGCATATATAGTGTCTAATAGGTGCTGTAGCTATTGGTGTATTTATCATTTCTATTACTTTTAAAATAATTATTTTGTCATAGTATGTAGTAAGTAAAAGATGGATTATAAATAAGCTGTTTGATTCCAAAGCCTCTGCTCTTAATTAGATCATTAATCTGCCCATTTTTATAGCAATTTATTACCTTGCTTATTGCTGTCACCTAATGGTTCTAATGTGGGGGCCTTGGCCTAGGTACTTTGACTACTATCGACTGTATAAGTCCTACAATGACCTTGTGCTGCTGAAGAACTATAAGGAGAGAACGATGGCCTATGGTGATGGCAGTGGCAATACCGTGTACAAGAACTTCATGTACTTTAACTACTATGGCACAAATGATATGGCCAAGGTGGACCTTTCCTCTAACACCTTAGTGCTGCGGCGCCCACTGCCTGGTGCCACCTATAATAACCGCTTTTCCTATGCTGGCGTGCCCTGGAAGTCCTTAGATTTTGCTGGTGATGAGGAGGGGCTGTGGGTGCTCTATGCCACTGAGGAGAGCAAGGGCAACCTGGTTGTGAGTCATCTCAATGCTAGCACCCTAGAAGTGGAAAAAACCTGGCATACCAGCCAGTATAAGCCAGCCTTGTCTGGGGCCTTCATGGCCTGTGGGGTGCTTTATGCTTTACGCTCACTGAGCACCCGCCAAGAGGAGATCTTTTACGCTTTTGACACCACCATTGGGCAGGAGTACTATCTCAGTATCCAGTTGGACAAGATGCTAGAAACACTACAGGGCATCAATTACTGCCCCTCAGACCACAAGCTTTATGTCTGCAATGATGGTTATCTAATAACTTATGACCTCACCTTTCTGACACTGAAGCATAGGCTACCAAGACCACCAGTCAAGAATCCTTTCTCTGGGGCCCATGCTCCACTAAAACCTGCCAAACCCAACAAATCTTCCAGGCCCTGAAACCCCCGAATAGAAATATGTTTTCTTCCTCACCTACAGGAGGACCGCTTCCCAAAATGGCCATCCACCCTAATGACTGGGAGACATTGATTATCCCTAGTTAGTTCTTTATACCATTAACTTCTCAATAAGCACATTAAAGTTCCCTTTAATAATAGTCTAGGTGGATTTGATTGAGAAAAAATAAAGAAAATATTAGCTAGGAAAGTGGTATACCTCTTTCTGGCGTTTTGGTATCATATATTTCTTTCTGAAAACCATAACTCTAGCTCCTAGAATTTTAGGGTTCCGTGACCTACATTTGTCAGCCTCACGTTGAGAATATCTGATTCTAGTGCAAATGACCCAAAGGAGCTTGACATTAAAGTGGGAAATGGAAGCTCCCTCTCTTATTCTTACTCTTCTGTGGGTTCCCTAGGGCAGAAAAGGAACCGTGTCTTGGTCTGAAACTTATTTGTTTCATGTCCTGGTTCAATCTCACTTTTGAGTGTAATTGAGAGAGGTGCTCTCAATTGAGAGAGGTGCCTGAGTTTTGCTCTAGGATGTTTGCAACTGGTAACTGAACGTGAGGAGGGTCTGACATGGATTGGACTATGGGTCTACACATTCTCAATAAATAATTCTTAGTGTGATAGCAGGAAGTTTCCTGGCTGACTGTTGTCTCTTTGCTTGCGTTTAGCACACAGAGAACACATTGGCTCGAACTCTCTACTTGCCCCTTATCTGTCAGTATGGTGCTCCTACTCCTTTTGGCAGGTGAATGGAATAAAATACAAACTCTAAAGTCCTCTCAGTAACACAGAGGATGCATACACTTTCACATATACGTTCAAAAATATACATTCAGTAAGACATACACATTCTCACTCACGTAAATACTATTTCCTTTTACACTCATACTCTAACATAGACATGAACACATATTTTAACAAATCCACTAATAGAACATTCACCAGTTTCCCAAGTAAAAATCAAACATCATCTCCCAAATTGGCATGAGACTGAGAATCTGACTTTTTAGTTGCCTGAACCTGTGCCTTTAGGAATTTTACTACTACCTGCCTACCTCCATGGCCACCTCTTGATTTATAGATGTTGCTCCTCCTTAATGCTTTTACACAAAGGTAGGCACGTAAAACTGGGTTAGGACATTGAAACAAATCATTCTAAACATCCCGTTGTAATAACATGGAAAAGACCAAGTGCCATGTGAATAAAAAGCGGTTTACAAGAAATGTTCACTCACATTTTGTATGGAATGCCTCTGCAGGGAGCCTTCCTGCCTAGCCCTGCTCCTGTTTCCTAAAGAAAAGGTAGTCATTTCTCCACTATATAGAAATTAAGTCTAGAATGCCAAAATATAGATTCCAGAAAAAAACAAAAGCAAAAAAATGACATCCCCTTCCACCTAAGAATTCTATTCTTCCTCCATTTTTCTAAGACCCACATTTTCAGATCACTAACAGAATCAATGGGCTCCTTTCTATGGAAAAGACTACATTCTTACAGAAATGTGATTTTATCTATGGCTTCAGTAGACTCAACTTTTCATATGTGTGACATTCCTATAAGGGACCTACACATAGTATCACACAGAAACATATATCTCACACTTAAAAATTTGGTATTTACTAGTTCTATTCTGATAACTTTGTCCCATTTTTTTTGGAAAATTGTTTCATTTCATTTTATTATAGATACTTGAATCCCGAAATCTGTCCTCTTTCCCCAGCTGGTCCAGGCCGACTGTGAGGCTAGAGTTGACATCACAATATCCCTTTTCTTAAGAGTCATGTCCTTGATGGGTGGGGCAGGAGGAGGGGTAGCCTTGGAATGAGTCATCACCATTTAGTCCACTATAGGTCAAGAATGAATCAGTAGCCACGCCAGGCCTCAGCTGGGCCACATCTGGAGAACTGGGGTGAAGGCACAAACATCACAAAGTACCTTGCCAGCCAGGTCACTCATTCCTTTTTGGGCAACAGGGAAATTAGCTGTTGTACCTGAGACAAAAGCCAGAGGATACATTTGTCTGCCTTCACCCCTTCTGCCCCTGCTTCCAGCTGCTTCCCATCTGCTCACCAGTTAAGGCCCATGCCGCATGTCATCTCTTGAACATCCAAGATGCTTCAGAGCGAGCGTCCTTCAGGTCTGCCTGCAGACAAGAATATCTCTTTGAAAGTCACTCGAGTGACAGTGAAGACCCCAGGCAACCAGAAAGACTTTGTGGTAGCAGATGACACTTCAGTGAGGCAATTCAAGGAGACGTTATCGGCTCACTTCCAATGCCAAATGAACCAACTAGTGCTGGTCTTCATGGGTCGTCTTCTCAAAGACCATGACACACTGAGCCAGAGGGGCATCATGGATGGCCACACCATCCATCTGGTCATCAAGTCCAAGCATGGCTCCAGATTCCTAGCCCATTCTTCCCAAAACCTGCCAACCAACGAGCCCTGCCACCAGGACAGAAACACCAAAGGTAACAGCAGTGGGGCACACCAACCAGCTGGTGTGAGTCAAGCTCCAGTGGAATCCTCCCACTTTGAGGGGTCTGATGCACGCAAGATACATACCCAGAACCTAGAAGTGGGTTGTGCAGGGCACATAGCACAGATGCTGGAGAATCCTACCATCCAGCGGTTTCTTTCCAACACAGAGTTTATGCAGCAGTTCATTTCAGAACATCTAGACATACAAAAATTGATGCAGCAGAACCCGGAGGTCCCCCACCTTTTTGACACTTCTGAGATCCTATGGCAAACTCTGGAGTTGGCCAGGAACCTTGCCGTGATCCAAGAAATAATGCAAATCCAGCAACCTGCACAGAACATTGAGCATTTACAGAACTCACAACCATTCTTGGACTTAGAAACAATGCCAGGTAGAAACAATGCCTTGGGTCAGAATGATGCTAATTTCAATGATCAAATGCTAAACAGCATACAAGATCCTTTTGGGGGCAACCCTTTCACAGCTCTCCTGGCAGGACAAGTATGGGAACAAGTCCAGTCCTCATCCCCACCTCCACCATCATCTCAGGAATGGCAGGACCAGCACCCACAGCTCCCTGCAACCCAAGTCATCCACACTAGTTCTGATGGTTTATCTTCAATCAGTTCAGCTAGTGACACTCTCAACAAGGTCAACCCTATTTCCAGGGCTAATACTACCACAATTTCTACCCAGGGTCGGAGCCATATCTGTGCCACTCAGCAGCCAGCTAGGATACCTGCATTACTTAATATAGAGCTCATCCAGAAGCCACAAGAAAAAGACAAGGATGCCACTATCTCTCTAAGCAGCTCCATCCAGAGATTAGAAGATGATATCCAGCTGTCAGATGAGCAGATCAGCTCTCAGATCATAGGGGGTGTGATGCAGTTGCTTATGAACAACCCCTATCTGGCAGCTCAGATGTTGTTTATGAGCATGCCCCAGCTGAGTGAACATCAGAGGCAGCAGCTGCCTACATTCCTGCAGCAGACAGAGCTCTCTGACCTGCTTATAGCCCTAGCCAACCCCAAAGCATCACAAGCAGTATTGCAGATTGAGCAGGGTCTCCAGCTGTTGGCAACAGAGGCTCCTGTTCTTCTGCCTTGGGTTGCACCTAACTTATGGGGCTTGAGTTGGCTTCCTGCTCCCAGCTGCAGCTATCCTGACACAGTGCCCTGGGCCTGGAATGGGCCAGATATAGCTGAGCCCAAAGGGCCTGAGTGCTGCCATAAGTCAGGAGCAGTTCTGCAGAGGCTACAACCCCTGGATGGGGACCCTTCCCATTCTCTACAAGCCCCTGAGATTCGTTTCAGCAAGCAAATGAAATCTCTCCAAGCCATGGGATTTGGGAACCACCATGCCAATCTATGGGCACTCATTGCTACTGAGGGGGACACCAATGCTGCTATCCTCAAGCTCAAGAGATCCCGGGGATTCTAACCAATGTGCCTACCTGTTTGCTGCCTGCTGGCTGACTCAATTGACCACCTCATCTGCTTTTTCCCACCTCTCCTGATGCTTTCAACTAGGAGATATCCTGGAATAGGAGTTACCAACCAATGTTGTCTATACTGAATAATAGATCATTGACCATGGCTGGAAGATCTGTGAATAAAATGGCTACATCCACTTGCCCCCATCTGAGGTTTGACTTTGTTTGTTTTTTTTTTTGCAAAAAAAGCAACTAACTGTGTGTGATATCCCTGTCTCACTTACTATACATACATGAACACACAAACACACATACAACATGTACATATTAATATAGAGACAAAAAATAATCAATGTTGCATACCATGCTCAAATATCTAAGAACATGCATATGTTGCCTCAGACAGGTGTACACATGTACACAAGCTCACATAGTGAAAGATTCACATATGTAGGCACATAGAGTCCACATACAGGTACATGCAGCTATATGCATACACACAAATACCTAGAGATACATTAATAGACACACATATAGAAGATGACAATCATAACATACTTATACAGAAAAGAAAACATATTCCATAGATAGATCTAAATATTTAGTCGTAAGATTATCTTGGTTTCTCAAACCCAAAGTATTCAAGTTTGAAAGTGGAAGAATAATCTTTTGGGCCAAAGTAGAAAAATCCACAAATCAACCAGGTCCTAATAAATAGTTATTATCATTACAGCCTCTTACTAATTGCCATTGCCACCATTATAAGACTTTGATGTGTGTCATTACTCTTCCTTTAGCCTACAGAAGTTGCCACCCTCACTGCATAGTCCAGTCACCACAAACCCAGCGTTTCATGGGACAGTCACAGCACTTTTCAAGGGCACCATATCCTTCAACATATCTTATGCTTGTAGCTTGTGTTTTTTTCACAGTTGTCAAAGTCCCATATTCTCTTCCTGCCTCACCTAGAGTATCCCAGACTGGCATCATATGCCACCAAATTATGCAGCTATTAAATAATTTAGTGAGCTTGTGCCATAACTTAACAAGTCAAAATTGTTCTAGGCATTGAAGAAATAGCAGTGAAAAAACAAAGGTCTTTTATTTATGGAGTTTACTTTTTTTGTGTGACTATACAAGACAGTATTCAAATTAACCTTACAGCTATATTAGGTGATGCTAAGTGCTATGAAGTGAAATGAATCAACATAAACAATTCTAAATAGGCTGATCAGGAAAGGCCCTTCTGAAAAGGTGACATTTGAGCAAAAGTTGGGAGAATTGTACATGCAATTCCCTGGGAGAAGGACGATCCAGGCAGAGAAGGCTTAATGACAGAATAGCAAGGAGGTAATGCTGCTGAAGTAGACAAAAAAGAAAGAAAAAAAAGGAGGTGGGGAGGATATCAGATGGTGAAGAGCTTTGTGGGTGAGGTGAGGACTTTGGATTTTGCTATGAATGTAAAAGAAAGTCACTGGTGGGTTTTGAGTAAAGGAATGAAGTAATTCAATGTATCAAATCTGGTTGCAGAGTTGAGCGAAGGACTGTGGTAGAAAGAAACCAGGGAAGCAGGGAAACAATAAGAGACTTTTGCATTAAAGCAGGTGAGAGATGCTGTTGTCTGGGACCAGGGTAGGAGCAGTGGAAGTGGTGAAATCTGGTCTCTAACAGGGACCCACAGAGATTTGGGTACTCAACAGACATCCCTCCCCAGCCTTGACATGGCTGTCAGCATGAGTGAAAAATCAGTCCACAAATTTCTAAGTACGTCTAGCAAGCTCACTGACAAAGACTCCAACCACCCACAGCTACCAAAAAGATGTCTCAAGAAAGAAAATGAATTCTTCACCTTCCTATTCAATATGATTATGTTTGCACCCTGTTTGTCGCTGCTGTTTACATAAAAAGCCCAAGCTATCCAAGGTCATCTTATTTTCATCCTAATATGCTGTAAAAATTCCTCACCTGGTTCATTTTTCTACTCACTACCACTTCTCCAAACCTTTCCACCCTACCATTTAGGATTCATAACTTAGCAATAAAAAAACCCACATATATCAACAACCTTCTTTCTAAAGTTTCCCTTACCTTTTTGCTATAATGGAAATCTGACTGTTCACTGAAGACACTGCTTCTGCCACAAAAGTAGCTGCTTCTTTCTTTAATTTCTCATGGACTTAGAAGTGGATAGGTGTCATTTGCAACTTCTTGCTGCTGCTTTCTTTCTTTCTTTCTTTCTTTCTTTCTTTCTTTCTTTCTTTCTTTCTTTCTTTCTTTCTTTCTTTCTTTCTTTCTCCTTCCTTCCTTCCTTCCTTCCTTCCTTCCTTCCTTCCTTCCTTCCTTTGTTGGATTTCACTCTATCGCCCAGACTGGAGTGCAATGGCGTGTTCTCGGCCTCCACAGCCTCGACCTGCTGGGCTCCGGAGATCCTTCCGTCTCAGCCTTCCAAGTAGCCAGAACTAAAGGTGTGCGTTACCACACCCGGTTAATTTTTGATTTATTGTAGAGACGAGGTCTCACCAAGTTGCCTGGGTGGGTCTCGAACCCATGGGCTCAGGCAATCCACTTGCCTCGGCCTCACAAAGTGCTGGGATTACAGGCTGGGCCACCGAGTCGGCCTCTTGCTTCTTCTTGACCCTAGTTCTCTTGCTTCAAGACTTCTCCATGATCCATTAATGTACCTCTGGCATAATATTCCTTCTTGTAAACTCATTGTGGTTATACCCAACTCTGCCTAATCTCTGTGTAGGCAGAGAAAAACATACAACTGTGCTGACTACTTTCACTTACATTTTTACCTAAAGCCTTAACTGCCTCTTAACAATCCTAACTGCATGTTCCCAGCCTGAGGACTCTCATCAGAAAATGAATTAGAATTACCTGGAAGGTGTGTTGAATCCCAGATATCTGAGCAACTTTGCAATGCATTCTGAAACAGTAGAATGAGGCCCAAATTACTCATTTTTAACAAGTTTTTGGGTGTTGCTGATGCTGCTGTTTTGGGGAACACACTTGGACATTTTCTGTCTTAGTCAATTCACTATTCTTTGAGATGATCATTTCATATCTTTTTTGCTCTTCTCAAATCTTCACCATCCCTTTTCTATTCTGAATTTTAGCTAAAGTTTTGCTTATTTTAACAAAAAAATAACAGTCAGAAGGGAATTCTACCTGTGCCTACTATCAAATCGTCCAACTTACTTACATTTGTCCCTATATATTCTGCCCTCTATTCTATTATCATGATAAAATTGTCCCTTTTCCTAAACCAAGCTTTCCACATGGACACTTGCTCCCAATCTCTCTAACCTATCTACTCAAGAATGTACTCTTATAATTGTTTTCCTTTTCTTGAGCATAATTTTTTTCTGCTTGTTAGATTGCTCTCATCAGAATAAAAACATTATATACTGTTCTCATTTTAAGGGGACAAAAAACCCTAAGAAGCCTTTAATCCCATTTCCCCATATAGCCGTCATCTCCCTTGCATTTATAATCGTACTGGATGCAATTCCTTTCCAACTGATTTGTTCCTAAATACAGTCAATCTTTTTGCCTCTACCACTCTTCCAGAGCTGGTCTCTTTATGGTCTCCAATTCTCTGTTTTTTTAAATCCAGTGGCCAATTCCCAGTCCTTATCCTGCTGACCTATCACATCATTTGACACAGTTGGTTACTGTGTATCTTTTATAAAAAACTCTTTTTGCTTTGGCCTCTCTTTGTTTTTCTTACTCTCTTTCTCGTTTTCTACCTTTTTTTTTCAGTTTCCTTTGCTAAATTTTTCTGATTTTCCAGAATTCTAAACATTATGGAGCCATAAGACTCAGATTTTTAAAAATATCTATTATTTTTTCCTATACTAACTATCTAATCTTGACCAATCCATAATTTAAAGTACTCTTTATGTGTTGATGAACTCTAGGCTTATAATATTCAACTACTTTCTTACATCTCCATTTGAATATAAAATAGACATCTCAAATATATCTAAACTTGTTTAACAACCTGCTAATTTTTTATTTAGCAACCTGTTTGTTTCCTGGTCTTTTAATTTTATCCCAATAAATATCCAATCCTTTCTTGGAATTTCCCAGGGAAACAGTATTAATTAAAACAAATTAAAAAGTCATGTCATTCTTGATCCCTCCCTTATACTCAAAATCTTATCCATCAGCAAATCACTACTTTGAAAATATATGAAGAATTTATGGTTAATTTTGTACCAGACCAAAAACAGGGACATGAGATACCAGGAAGAAGCCCCTGGACTAGGAAGTAGCTAACTTTGTTCAGAATGGGGACACAAAGGACCGAGTAGTGTTTTACAGTGGTCCAGTCTCAGTCTGAGTCTCCATGTTTGAGATTGTGTGGGAGCAGGGTTCCTCCTGAGAAGGAGTGGTCAGCTCAGGAGGCTGACTAAGAGGAGGGCACTTGAGGTAAAGGAAGTAGAAGACGTAAAGGGTGGTAGAGCAGGAGCTCCCAGGGATTCAGAGCACCTTGGAGAATCCCAAGAATCCATTGTGTAAGGCTGTGATGTCAGTACTGAGGTCACAGAATTGACTCGATAGAGTGGGTTCTGATCTACAAGGCCTCAGGGTTGGATGTGCAGCAAGATGAGGGAGATTTGGAGCCCTGCATAAGAGAAAGGACGGGGCCACAGCTGACTGGTATGTATACCCCAGACTGGGCCCTTCCTCCTTTCTTTGTCCCCATACTTATCAATTACAGACCTCTTTCCAAGGGTACCAGATTTCCATCCTTGACCCCTACGCTCTCAATCTCATAATCCCCTGAAAGTGCTTTTGCCCAGGAACCACATAGTCCCTTCCATGTAGACCCTATACCATTCCCTACTTTGATAATCAAGACCCTCTTCATGTTTACTTTTCCTACTTTCACCTCTGCCTGAAAGGGTGATGTTGGTCTCCTATCCCCATTCCCCCAGCTGTGTCCCCACAGATTTGGGCCTCCTGCTGCCACCATGGCCAAAAGCGGAGAGGCCCTGCCACAGGGCAGCCCAGGACCAGTCCGGGATCCCCACCTCATCAAAGTGACAGTGAAGACACCCAAAGACAAGGAAGATTTCTCAGTTACGGACACATGCACCATCCAGCAATTGAAGGAAGAGATATCCCAACGCTTTAAGGCCCACCCTGATCAGCTGGTTCTAATCTTTGCTGGCAAAATCCTCAAGAACCCTGACTCACTGGCACAGTGTGGAGTCCAAGATGGCCTTACTGTTCACCTGGTCATCAAGATGCAGCGCCGCGCCATGGGCACTGAGCGCCCAGCTGCCTCCGTCTCTACCCCAGGCCCAAGTGCTGGGTCGCTCCCTCAGCCAAGTTCCATTTACCCAGCAGATTGGCCTCCTGCCTTTAGCTTAGGTGTGCTCACGGGCCTTAGTGGGCTGGGCCTGAGCTCAACCAGCTTCCTCGACCAGCTAAGCTCACTGATGTGGCAGCGTGCATCCGTGCCTCAGTTTGTGACTCAGCTTATTGATGACCCCTTCATCCAGGGTCTGCTGTCTAACACGGGACTGGTGCGCCAGCTGGTTCTTGACAATCCCCATATGCAGCAGCTGATCCAACACAACCCGGAGGTTGGGCATATTCTCAACAACCCTGAAATCATGAGGCAGACGTTGGAGTTACTACGTAACCCTGCCATGATGCAAGAGATGATGCGTAGCCAGGACCGGGCACTCAGTAACCTGGAGAGCATCCCTGGTGGCTACAATGTTCTTCGCACCATGTACACGGATATTATGGATCCAATGCTTAATGCAGTACAGGAGCAGTTTGGTGGCAATCCCTTTGCCACTCCCACTACTGCTAATGTTACCACTGGCAGCAGCCAACCTTCAAGGACAGAGAATTGTGACCCCCTTCCCAACCCCTGGACTTCCACACATGGAGGTTCAGATGGCAGGCAAGGCAGGTGGCTTAGGGACCAGGGTGCATCTGAAATTAGAAATAGGGTTTCAAGCTTTCTGGGTAATATAGGGCTTTATGACTATCTCTATCAATTACATGAGACCTCCCAGTCCCTCGGAACCTATCTGCAGGGGATTGCATCCAACCTCAGACCAAGCCAGGAACCACCACCACAAGGAAACAGAGTTTCCCCAACTTCCTCTTCATCCCAGGAGCCTAGGTCAAGCCAGCCTCTCCCCAAGGAGTCAGCAGTAATCAAAGGAAAGTCCTCTTGCCCAGCTTTTCTGAGATACCCTGCAGAGAATGGTACTGGACAAGGTGGAGGCCAAGATGATGCAGGGAAAAACTCTACTGACCACAGCACAAGCTTGCCTGATCTTGTCTCAGGGCTAGGAGATTCTATCAACAGGGTTCCATTTGTTCCTTCTTCCCTTTCCCCTATGACAGTCACTCATGGAATCTCTGAGCCTCCCTGGCTGCCACCACAAGCTTGTCCAAGATCTTTGAGGTCAACTGGCATGAATCAGATCCCACAGTTACAGAATGAGATGCAACGACCACTGCCACTGCTAATGCGCCTTCAGGCAGCTATGGCAAATCCCCGTGCCATGCAAGCCCTGCTGCAGATTGAGCAGGGTCTGCAGATCCTGGTGAATGAAGCACCTCATGTCCTACTCTGGTTCATGCCTTCTCTAGCAGTGGCAGGAAATACAGAGTCTAGAGTAGGCACTTTTATGTCTGAGAATCCCCCCCAAAACCTGGGTCCAGAGGTGTCCCCAGCACAGGGCTCTGTGGAGCTGGGCTTCTGTTCCATACCCTTCCTCCAGTTGCTGCAAGCTTTAGCTAGTGCCAATCTCCAGCAGCTACAACCTGAGACTCGTTTTCGGGTGCAGTTGGAGCAATTGCGGGCCATGGGTTTTCTGAATCCTGAAGCTAATCTCCAGGCCCTCATTGCCACTGGAGGTGACGTGAATGCTGCTGTGGAGAAGCTGAAGCAGTCATAGGAGCCCAATCATTCAGACCATCTCTTTCCTCTGTGCCCTTTTCCCATGTCCTATTTCCCTAGCTCTTCCATTCTTGAATACAGCTGCACTATAAGCCAAATTTACTATGATGCCCTTTACTGTGGAGACAACGTTGTTTCAAAGGCAATGAGAAAGACTAAGGGCCAGAAACAAGGTGGGGGTGCTGTGTGTGAGCCAATCACCCCCACCACCGTACCATTCCTGGGTTCCAGTCTGAGCTCTGCTTATGCCTATCTTTAGATGAAATTACATCCAATCTCCAGTATCAGCTGTTTCTTGAGTCTGATTCTTGTGGGCCCTAAGGAAAAGGGAGAATATGGGTGAAGAGGTGGAGACAAAGAGTGTCTCTACATGAACAGAAGGGCTTAAATGGGAAACTAAAACGTTTGAAATTAAAAGATGCAGAGGTATGATGAACAGAGGAAGAAACTTGCGACAATCCGTTGAAGCTGAATCCTGCAAATTTCCCAATGTCCTTTCAGAGTTTCTCCAGATTTTGTGTCCAGTAGTAGCTGCCATCATGTTCCCTGTTCTTTGGAGTTTCCTACCACCAGCCTGACTGAAAAGTGGGTGTGGTTTCTTTTTTCTTTTCTTTTCTTTTTTTTTTTTGAGTTGGAGTCTCACTCTGTTGCCCAGACTGGAGTGCAGTGGCCGCTCCCGGCCACCGCAGCCTTGACCTGCTGGGCTCTGGCGATCCTTCTGCCTCAGCCTTCTAAGTAGCCGGAATTACAGGCATGTGCTACCATACCCGGCTGATTTTTTTTTTTTTTTATTGTAGAGATGGGGTCTTGTTGCCCAGGCGGGTCTCGAACCTGCGGGCTCAGGCAATCCACTCACCTCAGCCTCTCAAAGGAGCGGGATTACGACTGAGCCACCGAGCCCAGCTGGTTTCTTATTTTTATTGTCCTTGAAGACTTTCCCACAGGTGGCTGTCATTTTTATGATTTGATTCTGGTCACTGAGTGGATAGAGGTAGGACAGCAGAGATTCATACTGAGTTCTAAGATGCTTGAATCTCACTAGGTTTATAAAGACCCTTGTAGCCATATTCAAAGAGTTAATTTCTTGTTGTTTATAGCTGAAAAATTTACTACCTACCTTGTGCACAGCATTCTGCTAGCTATCAAGAATCAATGTAAATAAAGCAGACACAATTCTGCCCTTGTAAGCCTATCATCTCATAGCAGAAACTGTTCAGACTGTGAGGATATGAAGAATACTCATTCTATATAATCTCAAACTATGATAAATTCTATAAAGAATAAGCTGGGGAGTTGTGAAACAGCATAAATGGGCTGAATCGAGTCTGGGAAGAAAGAAAAGGTTTCTGTGAGTGTATGCTGTAAACTGAAAATGATAAGAATGAAGTAGGTAAAGTTTTGAAGGAGGAAGGAATCATTTTCCTCAAGAGGAGTCATCATGTACAAAGTCACTGAGGTAGGAGGCACACAACACAGGAGAGAGGCCCTCGGCATCTCAGACTAAATTATTGCTTGCATTCAGGAATGTGTACTTATAGGGCAAAAAAAAATGTTGTAGTTTATAAATCAAGCACAGGAACCATGCTTTCCAGTTCACATGCACATAAATGTGCCCATGGGATCACAGGGGTAAACACACTGTGAAGAAATGCACATCCACTTGCATATACATTCACATGTATGTGAACTCTGTGTAAGTGTGTTCAAGCAGATGTACAAAACACAGCCTGTTAAATCAGAGTTTCATCACAGAATGGAAATGTAAGCATAATAAATGTTCATGCCATATTCCTTTCAGGGAAGGGAAAGCGTTCTCAAGGGAAGACACCATTATGGTAAAAGTGGCTGTGGTATGTGTTTAGATGTCAGACTCAGAGTGGGGGTCATTTTAGGGCTTGGGAGAAACAGAACCTTTACCTAGAGCCCAGGATACTTTGACCAGCCTGTCTACCTTTGAGCTAACAGCATGTAGCATAAAAGAGAAAACCAGCTTTTGTGAACAGCTATAATTCAGTCTCTAGGTAGAGCATGAGGCTTTGAGGTCCCCTCATCACCCCATTCCACTCCCTATCAGTGGGGAGTCTTGTCCAGATCAGAGAAACTGTTGTTTATGCTGGTGCTAGGAAAAAGGAAGAAGAAAGTCTTGCTTCTCCACTTCCTGCAACTCATAAGGCCTGTGCTGTGTGGGGCTGCCTCTGACTGGAGAAGATGTACAATAAAACCCTTAATTGCCACCACTGGAAGGCCAGGTATGTCTGAGAAAACAATCTGATGGAAATAAATGGCTTTCTATCTGGGCCAAAGGAAACCTGAGACACATATGAAGTTAAGTCCAGCTGACCAGGGCAGTCAGCAGAAGGGTTGGGTCTAAAAGTTCAGGCTACAGAGGGGAGTGTTCATTTAGAGGTCTGTTCTCTTGCCATAACTTCTTGAGAACCCTTCACAGTTGACTGGGTGCCTGGAATCAGAGACTGAACTCTTTTTTTTTTTTTTTTTTGTGAGTTGGAGTCTCACTCTGTCGCCCAGCCTGGAATGCAGTGGCCACTCCTGGCCACCGCAGCCTTGACCTGCTGGGCTCCGGCAATCCTTCCACCTCAGCCTTCCGAGTAGCCGGAATTACAGGCGCGCACTACCACGCCCGGCTGATTTTTGATTTATTGTAGAGATGAGGTCTCGCCAGTTGCCCAGGCGGGTCTCGAACCCATGGGCTCAGGCAATCCACTCACCTCAGCCTCCCAAGGCGTGGGATTACAAGCTGAGCCACCGAGCCCGGTGAGACTGAACTCTTTAGCCTCATGCCCAATTCCATGATGGTAACGGGCAGCAGTCTTCCCTGCCCCAGGAACCTTCTCCTGAATTTACCATCATCGAATTGGGCACGAGGCTAATCAGTCTCATGCCCAATTCCATGATGGTAAATACAGGAGAAGGTTCCTGGGGCAGGGAAGACTGCTGCCCTTAATCTAGCAGCTAAATGGAAAGCACTCAGTCAATGATTGAATGAGTGTTAATGATGAGTGAATGAATAGGTGACCAAATGAGAGGATGGTTGGGGGGACTGAGTAGATGCAAATAAAATAGAAGATGTCACAGGACCAGAGCTTCTGCTTGGAAAAAGAAAGGCTGCTGGAATTTTGGAAATAGGAGATTCCTGCAGGTTGATGTTACCAAAAGAGCAGATCTCCTGGGACTTCCCACCTGCTGTGCCTACTCTATCTCTCATTCTGCCATATGTGGTCTGGATCATAGAAGGATAGGGCAAGGGGGGGTTATGAAAATGGAAAAGAGAAGATAGAGTCACAGAGCTTTGACCATATTGGGCCTGTTGCCTTGCTCCTTCCAAAGAAATTGTACCCTTTATTCAAAACAAGAGATTTGCTAAAAAGTTAAAAACAAAAACAGTGGTAAAGTCTGTAGTGCTGAGTGCTGATTTGCATCACAAAGAACCAGGAAGGTCGATCTCAGTTTAAGAAAAGGTATTATCCAAGCAACAGAAAGTGCTTTTATGCATCTATATTCTTCCCTTTATTTACTTATTTATTTATTTATTTTATTTTATTTATTTTTTTTTGAGTTGGAGTCTCACTCTGTCGCCCAGACTGGAG